TTTTTATAAAAAGGGTTTAGGAGGCGTTAGTTAGCATAGCACCTGGCGTGTAGCATTTGCTGTTGTCATGTCCTTAGTCTTCATGACCCCGTGGACCATAGCATGTCAGGCCCTTCTACCCTCCACCATCTCTCGAAGTCTGTCCAGGTTCATGTTTGTTGTTTCCATGACACCATCTATCCATCCCATCCTCTGCTTCTCCTTTGGCCTTCAATCTCTCCCAACATCAGGATCTTTCCCAATGAGTCCTGTCTTCTCATTGTGTGGCCAAAATATTTAAGCTTCAGTTTCTTCCAGTGAATAGTGCTTAATAAATTCGTGGGGATGATGGTGGTGGTGGCGGCGGTGGTGGTGGTGGGACACTGGGCTTTCTCCATTCTTAAAAGAGGAGGAGGTAGTAGTAATTCTGATGGAGAAAGGAGGAAAAGGTAAGGATGGCTGGTGTGTGATTATGCTGTGAAATGGGGCAAATAGGCAGAGTAACAGAGCCAGTGAATGAATGGGCAGAGGATGGCTAGATTCACAGCTTGCTCAACTAAGTTGAGTGTCTTAATCTAGGATTGCCACTCTCCTTGGGTGGAGTGCTGGAGCGGCAGGGGCCCCAAGGCAGGATGACTGATGTGTGTACTATGAGGCTGGCTCTAGAGGGATGAGTATAAGGAATTCGTGATCTGGGGGTGGCTGGCTGGCTTCTATTCTTGTTTCTGGTTTCTACTACTAACTCTGGGTAGGTAGGTAGGGAATAAATAATTATATAGTGCCTACCATGTGCAAGAGACATTGTGCTAAACACTTTTTTTTTAAACAAGATTATCTCACTTGATCCTCACAACAGCCTCGGCAGGTAGATACTGCTATAATTATCCCCATTTTACAGATGAGGAAACTGAAGCAAACAGGATTAAGTAACTTGCCCAGAACCATATAGCTAGTCAGGGTTCAGGCTGGATTTGAACTCAGGCCTTCCCAACTCCAGGACCATTGCTCTATCTACTTTGACACCTGCTACTGCCATGTGCCAGGCACTATGCTAATTGCTTAAAATACAAAGAAAGGTAAAAGATAATCCCTGATTTTCCAGTCTAATAGAGGAAATAATATACAAACATCTATGTACAAGCAAGCTACATAGGATAAACTGGAAATAATCAATGAAGGCATGACCTAGAACTAAGGGGGATAAGTTATGCTGAGCCAAGATGTTCTGGCCTCATCTCAGCATCCAGCACTGTGCTTCATACACAGTAATTGTTTATAATGTTTGTTGAATAAATGACTGAATGGTCGGATGCCTGGTCATGCCTCTCATTCCTGGAACCTGAATCTCAGAGTCCAATTAATCTGACCCCTCAGGGTTTCAGGTGGTTGGTTCTCTGGGGAGTAGTTGGCCTGTTGGAGGTGGGCAGCTTGTATTCTGAGATGGATCACTGGTGGTGTTGACTTCCTGCCTGGTGTTTCAGGTCTTTCAGGACAGGCTTCTAGATAACCTCACGTTATTTTGCTAACTCAGCATCGTAGATGTTTGCTTCGAATGGTACCCTGAATGCTGTAGGCCAGCCCAGAGCAGCAGAGTGGAACAGAAGGCAGGAGTCAATGTGGTGCTGGAATCAGGCTGAGGTTTGGGATTCAAATCCCAGCTCTTCTAGTGTGACCTTGGCCAAATCCTTTCCTCTGGCTACACCCCTGTTTCTACGTCTGTTTCATGAGAGAGCTGGGCTAAATGGTGTCGGAGGTGTTTTCAAGTTCTGAATTCTATGATCCTATAATTGCAAATCAGACATCAGACAGAACTTCTTGATTCTCAGGGATGGGAAGAAATAGAAGGCTGAAGGAAACTGAAGCAGCTACCACTTCTCTGGCAACCTCCCAGGAGAAGCAACCCCTCCTTCTTGGTCTAGGTTAGGAGATGGCATCCTTTTTGAAGGCAAGGGGACAGATGGGGTGATCTGCCTGTCTAGGAGGGCTCTTGGATCCTTTTTATTTCCTGCACTTCACACCCAGAGAGAGGGACTCAGTCACTAAGCCCGGTAGGATCAGAGAGGGAAGTTCAAGCACTGGGGATGGGGGCGGGGTAGGAGAGGGAAGGGAGTTCTGAGGCATGCCCTGGAGTGGCGACGGGACCAAGTAGTAGGCAGGGCCAGGGTGGTGCAATGGGGTCAGGAAAACCTTGCTCAGCAGTATAGGACTTTGGCCAGCTGCACAGCTGAGTCACAGAAACTGGACATAGGCTGGAAAATAGTTGTTGGAGGACAGGGACCAGGGCCAGGGCCAGGGTTAGGTCCTGGTTACACCCTTCCAGGTTACACCCAGCTCCAGCCTTTCTTCTCTCCATTCTCTCCCTCTGGACAATACATGGAAACCAAAGCCCTAGTGCTGGATCCTGAAGAAGGGGACAGAGGGACATCAATATAGAAGATGGAGAGCCATTCCCCAGTACATACAGTGGGCAGGGGACTTGAACCAAGGATGTGAAATTCTCTTTTCTTTTTTTGGTGAGGCAGTTGGGGTTAAGTGACTTGTCTAAGGTCACACCACTAGTGTCAACTGTCGGAGGCTGGATTTGAACTCAGGTTCTCCTGACTCCAGGGCCGCTGCTTCATCAACTGTACCACCTTGCTGCCTCTAGGATGTGAAATTCTCGAGAGAAGAAATGTAAACTATCTGTGGGGCATCTAGGTGGTGCAGTGGATAGAGCGCCATGCCCGAGTTCAAATCCAGCCTCAGTCACTTACTAGCTGTGTGACCCTGGGCAAGTCACTTCACCCTATTTGTCTCAGTTTCTTCATCTGTAAAAATGAACTGGAGAAGGAAATGGCAAACCACTCCAGTATGTTTGCCAAGAAAACCCCAAATAGGGTCCTGAAGAATAGGGCATGACTGAAAAAAACTACTCAACAACAACTATCTGTAACTATATGGGAAAGTAACTCCAAATCATTCATAATAAGAGCCATGCAAATTAAAATAACTGTGAGGCTTCACCTTATCCCCATTAAATTGGCCAAGATACTAAAAGATGGAAATAGTCAATGCTCAAGAGTAACAGTAACTAATAAGTTACTGTTGGGGCTTCGAACTGACCCAGTTATTCTGGAAAATAATTTGGAATTAGTTGAGAAAAATTACTGAACTGTTCAAACCCTTTGACCAAGTATTTGCCCTACGGAAACCAAAGACAAAAAGAAACCAAAATATCTATAAAAACACTTTTTTTTGGGGGGGGGAGGAAATGAAACCAAAAATAGAAATAAATAAAAGACTTGAAATAGTTCTTTGAGATTTACAGAGTATTGTGCATTAGATATTATTTCATTTGATCCTTACAATAACCCCATGAAGTAGATGCTATTATTCTCCCCATTTTAAAGATGAGAAAAGAGAAGTGACTTCAACTGGGTCACACAGCCAGTAATAGAAATGTAGTTAATGTGTCATAAAAAAAGTTGAATTTGAAGAATTTTGAAAAAAGAGGAAAATTTGCATGAATAATGCAGATAAGCAAAACTAGTTGAATAATATACAGAGCAACCGATATTGTAAACTAAGGACACCACAGAAAAGCTACTTAATTTAAAATAAGTGTAATGACCAATAGGTTATCCAGAGGTCAGGTGACTGACTCCCCCTGTCAAATGATTCCAGATGGCATATGTGGACAGTTGCTGTATTGGTTAGTTTTGCCTGACTGTTTTGATTTGTCATGGGGAGAGTTATGGGATGGGGGGGGAGATGGAAGAGTATACATAGAAATAATTTTGTGATATAATAAAAAAATTTAAAAGAGAAGTGAAGTGAGCTTTCCTAGAAGGCTATGTTAAGCCAAATTGTGGCTGAGGGGTAGAACCGCAATGGGGGCTTAGGCATTTTCATCAAGCTCCTCGGCAGCGGATTGGGGCTCTGGTTTCTGAGGGCTCACCTTAGCTCAGGCAGCAGTCTCCCATCCCACATATGTCCCCATTTCTGTCCCCATCTCCCTCGGATTCTAGTTCCACCAACACCAAACAGCCACGGCAGGAAACCTCACCTCTTCACTCCTGAGCCTAGAAGGAGGGGGAGAATGACAAAATGCCTTTGCTGAGCAGCTGGGCTTTGGGGCTGGGCCCTCGAGGAACTAGGGGTGGGGGCTGGGGGCCCAGGGTGGACTGGGGACATTCCAGGCAGAGGGGAACCCGCTAGGAAATTTGATTCCTGCTTCTGGCAGTGGGAGGGTGGGAAGAGAGACCTGTATATTGCATGAGTTTGCTGTGGAACAGCGTCCCTGCGTGCATGTGCCTCTTGGTCTGTGTCCAGGTGCCTACCTATGGGTATCTTGTGTGACTGTGTGGCGTGTGTCTCCCGGGTCTGTCTTTGGGTCCCTCGGAGGGAGCTGGCTGGATGCAAGTGTTGGGTGCCCTTGAACTTGTGAGTTTCGCTGCTGTGCCTGGATTTTCTCCCAGCCAAGTTGAGCCCCTAGAGGAGATGGAGGAGGGGAGAGGGATTTCGGAGAGAGGAATAGGATCCCGGGGCAGTTCAGGGCCGGCTGGCGGGCCGGGGTATAGTCTGAACCCTAGATGGTGGAGTGGCTGGGGGGTGGGCAGCTGCGGGCGGTCTTCTGGTCTGGGCAGCCGGGGGTGGGTAGGGGGCGGGCCCCATACCTGAGGCCCTCGGCCACCTCTGCTTCTGGCCCCCGGCCAGCGTGGGAAGCTGGGCCCCCTCCCCCAGCAGCAGCCGCCTCAGCCGCCGCTGCCAAGGCGCTTTCGGCTCCCGAAGCTGCGCCGGGCATGGGGCTTGTGTGCCTGCGGGGTCTCTGATCATCCCCACGGTCCCGGGCTTCTCGGGGGTGAGCTCCGACAAGCCATTCTTCATTCATTTCTCCCTTGGGACCCCTCCCCATTCCGCGCTCCCCGCTCCCTCCCTTCTGCTCTCGGGATTGCGGGCGAGGGTGGGAGGAGATTTCTCCTGAGTTTCCATTTCATAGCTCGCGGCTACAAACTTTCTTTCTGTGTCTCGCTCTCTTGCAGTCTGCAGCTTCTCCTGTCATCGGAAATGCGAGGCCAAGGTAAGGGGGCCGGGCGGCCGGAGGCGAATTCTTGGGGAGAGGGCTGGGCTGGGTTCCTCTGGACTCTGGGGGAGACGGAGGCAGGCGCCGGAGGCGGTGCCCAGGCCTCCCCCCCTTCCTTTGTTTATCCTAAGCGGCCCGGGGATGGGAGGGGGCGCGAGGGGCAGGAGGTCAAGGTGAAGGCCACTGCACTGGAGGCTGGCAGCGGCCCAGAGTGGGGGGCTTCCTAGCTGCGCCTGGCTTTCGAGGGGCTCTGGTGCCGGAGGCAGAGACTGTGGGGAGGGAGAACAGTAACTGGAGGCCCGGGGAGCAGGGAGCAATGCCTGAGTTGTTTGCTACTGGGGGAGGGGGCGCCAAGGGAAGGAAAGATGGAAGGAGAGAGGCTCTTGAGTTGGTATTTCTCCTCGTTTGCTAGTGGGGGGTTGGGCTTGGGGGGAAATGGTCAGAAGGTAAGTGGCATCTCTTTTAAGTAAAAATGGATCCTGTTGCGTGCCCCCTCCCCCGGGTGCCAGTTTGGGTCAGCCTAGTCTTGAAAAACTCAGATGTGGGGAGCAGAGAGCCTGAATGGGAAGGAGGGAGGAGGGTGGGTGATGAGTGAATGGGCATTGTAAAACCCTTTGACTTTACCCAGCTTTGATTTGAACTCTGTTCCAGCCACTGTATCAAGAGTTCTCAATTTCCCTACAACATAAAGGAGGCCTATTCGGTGGGATTAGAAACTTGGGAGTTTGAGGGAGGAGAAGAGGGCAGGGGGTCTGTTTTCCAGCCAGGTTGACAGCTTCCCTATTTTCCATCTCCTCAGGCCTGAGACAGGAGGGATTGATGGGCTAGCTGTTTGTCTCTCTGAGGTGATGATAGCAGTGATAACTGTTGAAGTGTTGACAGGGAGATGGATTATGGCATTTGGGGTAGCTTGGAAGGATATCTTTCTGTAAGGTTTCACCACTGTCTCTGGTCCCATGCCTTCCCTTATCTTCCGATACAAGCTCAGTGTGTCCCCTCTTGCCTTTACCTGACCACCCCAAGCCAGGTGCAAGCCTCACTTACCGGGTGCAAGTCCCAAGTTGGAGCCTGCCCCCAAGACTGTGGTTGAATGGAGATTTATAGGAAGGGGGAAGTAATATGGCATTTCAAAGAGCTGTATTGGGCAGGTGTGGACTTAGTTGCACTTCTCATGCTCAGAGGAGAGAATGTGCCCCTTGGTTCTCAACTTCCCAGCCCAGCCCTTTCCTTCTCATTCAGAAGTAGGAATGGGTCTCTCATTTCTCTTAATATGTCCCTTTTTTTCTCCTGACCTTTTAAAACAGTCTTTCTCTCTTTGCTTCTGGATCTTCTTGTACGGCTTATCTCTCCAGACTAATCACCCTTCATGAAGCTGGCTGCACCTGTTTCTCTTGACTTTATGATGATATCCCAGCCATCCCTAGCTCCCTGTCCTGCCACTCATCCTTTGTCCTTCCCACTCCCACCCCCTTTCCTCCTGCTACTCCCTAATCACAGGAAATTTTTTTCCCTGATCCGTTCCTACCTTTTCTTCTCCTTTCTTCCCACCCCCTACCATCCCAGCAGTGGTAGAGATGCAGGTGAAGCTAAAGGAAGAAACTTGTAGACAGTGAAAGGTATGAACATCCAGGGAAAGGGGAATAGCCAGAATATACAATTATTGGCTGGAGGAGGCACCTGGAGAGGGATAGACCAACAGTCACACAGACAGATGGCATGTTTTTTTCCTTTTTTTTTTTTGGTGAGGCAGTGGAGGTTAAGTGACTTGCCCAGGGTCACGCAGCTAGTAAATGTCAAGTGTCTGAGGTGGGATTTGAATTCAGGTCCTCCTGACTCCAAGACCAGAGCTCTATCCAGTGCGCCACCTAGCTGCCTTAATGGCATGTTTTAGAGGACGCTTCTTTTCTAGGAAATCAGAGCCAGTAGTTTTCAGAACTCTACTCCCATTGACAAATTTATTTCCAGAAATCATAGTTCTTTTAAGCTACCTTAGTTTTCTTTCGCTCTCACAATATGCACGCTTAGTGATCTGTGTTCGGGGCCTGACTCTTAGAACCAGCATCTCAGAACTCTTAGAACATCTCTTAGAACTCCCTAGTCAGAGAAGACCCTCCAGGGTTTATCCTTGTTTCTGGAGCTTAGTCCTGTCCAGAGAGATTAGGGGAAGTGAATATCTCTTTTTGGGGAAAAGAGTTTCTCATTTTGAAAACTGTATTCCCTTTTCTGAGAGTTTCCTTGTTTAGGAGATGATATACTGTCCCTTAGCCATCCAGCCCAGTGTCACCCTTACTTTATTACTGGTAATTTCTTTCCTATGGCTGTTGCATGGTGGAAAGAATAAAGGGTCCAAGCCCCTGAGCCTGTTATGCTATGACTTGAGACAAATCTTGTTCCCTTTCAGAACCTTAATTTCCTCATCTGTAAAAGAGAGGATTAATTATACTTTCAGTGCCATAGGATTTGTGAGGAAAGTGCTTTGTATAGTGCCATGCAAATATGAGCTAATATTATTATCTATTATGCTATAATTTCAGCCCATTTCACCACCTCTTCTAGGTCATACAGTGGCAATCCCCAAAATTGCATTCTGCCACATCTACCCCCCTCCATCACAAATCTGTCTCTGAGATTCAGCCCCATGGCATCCAGAGGGAAACTGAGTCACAGAGTCTGGAAGTGTACAGAATTGGAAATGATGTTTTTGCAGACTTATACCCTTTTCCTTCCTTTCTGCTATGCTGCCTGGTTTAATTGTAGTAGGTGGTACATCTTTTAGGACTTTTTGCGGGCAAGAACTTGGACCCAACCTGGTACCACCAGCTAGGGTACAGAAATTTGGTTCTACACTTTAAATGTATGCATATGTGAAGGGATGAGTCTTAGAGGGAATGATGGTAGATAAGAGAGAAAAAAGCAACGGTAAAGACTCAGATCAAAGGTTTGGTCTCCTGGTCTAGCCTCAAATGAGGAAACGAAGTCAAGAGAGACGAAGCATCATAACAGTTGGAAGGAACCTTGGAGAGGCATCTGACTCATGAGGAAACTGAGGCCCACAGGCAAGTTTTGTCTAAGGGCATATGGGTAATAATAAGCAGTAAAGCTGAGATTTGAACTCAGATTCTCTAGGCCCCAAACCAGTAAGCTTTTATTCAGGTTCACCCAGTTAATAACTAGCACCGCTAGATTTAAACAAAGGTCTTCAGATTTCTGAATCCTGTGCTTCATCAGTCATGCCACATTGTCTCCTGCTTGTCTCTGAATTGAGGCTCCGTGCTCTCTCTCTCTCTCCCCCAACTCTCACCTCTGTTTGGGAGATGCCTCCTGTCCCTGGAGTGATCTGTGTCCCATCTTTACAAATCTTAGGTAGGCCACATAATTTAGAATTGGAAAAGATCATGGATGCCATCTCATTCAGTCACCTCATTTGATAGGTGAGGAAACTGAGGCCGAGAGAGTTGAAGTGACTTGCCCAGCAGAGCTGTGATTCAAAGCCAAGGCCTTGGATTCCATTTTGGTCCTATTTCACCCACAAATCTGCCTCTGAGTTTCTTTTTGCCTTTTGTGTTGATCTACTCCTGTCCTGGCAGAAATAAGGGAATGGGTGGGAGGTGGTCAAAGGAAGGTCAAGGGGAGAGACTTGTCTATTGGGATGGATGTGACTGAGAAACTAACAGAGAATCCCTGAGTCTTTAGGTTGTTAGGGGTCTCCTACACTGATCTTATCCCATTTCCCAGCCATTCATCTTCAGCAAAAGATAGCCCTTGGCCTCCTTTTGTTTTCTATTCCAGCATCTTATCCCTGTTCTCATCTTCAGTCTGCACCAGCCCTTATGAGGAGTTAAAGATTTCTATATTCCCTAGTCTGTTTCAGTGGACCTTAGGAATCACAAGGCTTCGATTTGAATCCCAAATTGGACACTTACTAAGTGATTTTGTGACCATGGACAAGTCATTTAGCTTCTCTGAGACTCAGTTTTCTCCTCTGTAAAATGAGTGTGAGAATACTAATTACATATTTATTCTGAGGAAAGCACATGGTAAACCTTGAAGTGCTATTTATTATTTATGTATATAGGACTTTTTTGTTTATTTCGACCTATTATTTCATTAGTGTGGAGAACTAGAAAGTAATTTTTAGTGTTAGGGAGTCGCCTGGGGCCATTGAGAGGTTAATTAATCTGCCCAGGCATCTTATAGTATGAATAAGAGTCGGGACTTGAACCCAGGTCTTTCTTCTTCCTCTGCCAGTCCATTAACCAGTATGCTACATTGTCCCTTATGACTGACATATATACTGTATTTATTTCTCCATCTTTATATGTCCTCCTTCAGGCATCTCCACACGCTTTCCTCAAAAGCGTTTTAAGAAGAATATTAAGAAAAACATTCCCCCCCCCAAAGAATTCTTCCTAACCTTTTCTTTTTCTCCTCCTCTTATCCTGAATCAGCAGCCATCGCTGTCAGCTAAGCTTTGTTAAGTGGAACATACCCTCTTCATGCCAGGGCAGACAAAGACTCCAAAGCTGCTTGTCCCAGGCAGGAGTGGGGAGCGAGGAAAGGGAAGACATAAGCGGTCCTTGCCTCTTTATTCCTGCCCAACGTCCTCTCACTTTGCTTTTCCTTTGGTTTCTCTCAACTTCTCTTGGGCAGGGGCTGCTAACTCTGGAAAGACAGGAGATGAATAAAAGGGGTGTAGCAGCCGCCTGTTCATTCTTTTCCAGACTGAAGACTTGAAAAGAAAAGAAATGATACATGTGAAGTCTTATCTTTCATCACTCTCAAATCATCTCCTCCTTATTTGTCTTTCCCTGTGTCTCAAACAGACATGTGTATTCAACCTTCTCTTAGTCTTTTCTTTTTTTCTTTATTTTTCAAATAGTCTTTAAATCTATGCGGCAAGGAATAGTAAAGGAAGAAGAAAGTTTAGTTGTGGATTTCAGTGGAACTTTGCCACTGATTGCTGTGCAACTAGGTACCAGTCATTGCCATTCTGAGTAAATGGGGATGAGCAGCAAAGGTTGTCTGGGCCAGTATAGATGAAGCTTTGATGCTTGCACAAGTTCCCTGCCTTCCTCTAATGCCCCATTCTAAAATGAAGGGGAAAAAAAAAAGACAATACAAAAAACTCTAGAGGAAATTGTATCTTTGTCTCCAAACATCTCAGCATCTAAGCTTTTAGAGGGCAGGGACCATGCCGGTCATTTTCTTTGTCAGAAACCTAGTACAGTGGCCAGCACATAGTAGGTGCTCAATAAATTCTTGTTTGGCAGACTGCCACAGACTTACAGTAACTCACATTTATGTCTCAATTTGTGGTTGCAAAGCACAACAGAATGTGATGCTTTTTAAATAAGGATGGATTTCCTCATTGTTAGGATGTTCTTCCTCATGCCTGATCTCTGCTGCTGTGGCTTAAGATTGTCCTTGTTCTATCATCATTGGAATGAAAAGTAACTAGTGTAACTGTCCCCATACCTAATAAATACAGCCTGGAAGCCTCTTATTCACCTCTTCCTCTAACCCCGTTTTTCTCTGAGAAGAATCAACCTAGTTTCCTTAATCTGGCTGATACATCAAGAAAGATAATGCTAGAGTTAGAGACCTCATTAGTTAGAAGAGAAAAAAGATGCAAGATAAATTGAAGTAAGGGAGTAGTGAATGAATTGCAGCCATATAGGTACCCAGCTGATTAATGATGATGGCTCATATCTCTGAAGATGCTTCTATCTTTTTTGGGGGATCCTGTTTTCATTGCAATTGGTGGAGTGGTAGTGACATAGACTGGGGACCCCCAAGAGGAAACTATTTCCTGTCTAGTGGGGAGGGAAAAAAAACCTAACAGGCTTGAGAGAAGCCATAAACTCTACCAGTGTGGGGCTGAGATTTCTCCCTCAACTAACCTCCTGAAACTGCCTCTCCTCCTCCATCAAAGAAAGGAAAATGGTCCCTCAGGTGTTGGGGAGTGAAGCAAGACCTTGAGGGGTTGCAGGGTAGGAAGATGAGTGTATAATACAGTCTGTATTTGTGCACACACCTTCCTTGCTCCTGCTGCTCCGCCCCCCTTCAGGAGGAGAGGGTGACGTCTGAACTGTGAGTGGCTTCTCATTCCCAAGGAATGCAGCTTGAAAAGGTCTCATATTTTTCAGCATTTATGATTCTGGGGCTGTGTAAACATCACATGGGGGTTTTGCTGTATCTGAGAGACCTGTTGGGGTTTTAAAAATGGGGGGAAAAGGGGTTAGAAAGACAAAACAGGGAGAAGATAGAGAAATGGAGAGCCAAACCAAGGCAGAGAGGGAAAGTGTACAGGAGGGAAAGGAGGAAGACAAATCCCAAAATCATGTTGAAACACGAAACATGGTGAAATATGTTTGAGGAAACAAAGGTCCCAGAATTCCCACTGAGAAATGTGAGGGAGCGTGTGAGAGGCTGTGGGTCTGTCTGGGTGGGGAGGACCAGGGAAGGGCAGGGGACAGTGGTAGGGAAGGCCTCTCTGTGGCCATGAGGTAGCCTGGGTAGAGTGGCTCATGGCTGGTGGCCTTCTCTGGGTTCTAGTTCGTCAATCACAATCAGGCTGGCTTAGTGGAAAATACATAGAATTTGGCATTGGAGGACTGGGGTTCACAGTAACCCCCTTACAGCCCAGACATCACCTTCTCTTCCAGAAGGAGGGTGGAGTAGTAGAGGCAAGAAGTGTGTATGCACAAATACAGACTATATTATACACTCATCTTCCTACCTTACAACCCCTCGAGGTCTTGCTTCACTCCCCAACACCCGAGGGACCATTTTCTTTTCTCTGATGGAGGAGGAGAGGGAGTTTTGGGGAGGGACAAGTCTCAGCCCCATAGTGGCTTCTCTTAAGCCCATTAATTTTTTTGATTCCTGCTAGAAAAGAAATAGTTGGGGGTGTGACCAAAGGCCAGGCACTTAACCTCTCTGGACCTCAGTTTTCTTATCTGTAAAATGTGACATTTGGGCTATAGAATTTGTAGCCTCTAGCCCTTCCAGCCCTAAATCCTGCAGTCCTACCATTTTAGGAATAGCCAGACCAGGGTCTCTAAGAAGATGCTGACCTGAGAGAGAGCCCATAAGCAAACATTGCTTGGCTCCAGTGTCTTCTCACACCAATCTCTGCCACAGCCAGAGCCCTGTGCTTGGGGTCATTCAGTTAGTCAGCCTCATGGGGCTCAGGTGTGTGTGTAGGGGCACAAGAATAGATTTTTTAGTGTGAGATCTCCTAAGCGCACATATTCTTAATGCCAGAAAATCACATTCCCCAAGTGTTTATTTTGTGATAAATCAGTTTCCAGGTGTTGCGGTGAAGTCTCTAAGCCTTAGGCAGACTGATGCATGGTGACATATACACGTGGTGCATAATCTCTCCAACATTGCCTGAGGTGCCCAGATGCTTTGTTCCTACTCGACTGTGACTACAAGTTTTAGGCTTATGGGTCCATGGCTAGGGCAGCAAATCCCACCTCCTTCTCCCACCCCCACCACTTTGTGGAGCTGGTTGCTGGGGGTCATACTGGTGGCTACTTCCTCTTTTGGTTTGGTAGCAGTTTTGGATATCTTTAATGACCAATTGTACCTCCTCTTCCCCTGCCAGCAGCTCTTGGGGGAAGAAATTGCTTGTCCTAGGAGGGACTCTTTTTTTGTGTCCTGTGTATCTGTGTGCTAAGGAAGTGAAGGGGAAGAATGACATTTACCAAGTGCTTGTCTCGTAACAACTTGGTAAGGTAGGCAGTGCAAGTATCACTTTATTTTATCCCCATTTTATAGATGAGAAAATTGAGACTCAGAGGTTAAGTGACTTGGCTAAGGGAAGGTAAAGATGGCTGCCTTAGGGTCTCCTTTGCTTGGATGTGGGAGTATAGCCTTCTGTCCTGTCCAGGATCTTGGCTGCTCTAGGAGACAAAAGAACCAGAGTCATCCTTATAAATTTCCAGTACTCCCTGCAGTAACAGTATAGCTGTGTGACAGTACTGGTGGATTCCACTTTCTCTGATAAACTGGCCTTCAGACACCCCGTAATAATAAATAACCCATAGTGCCAAGAAGTTTTGCAGTAATGGGTGCTGGTCTCCATTTGCCTTTCTTGTACAGACCAGCATGATGGTGGGTGCACATAGACCTCACCTCTCACTCATAGGGGTATGGCTGCCTCACCCACTCCAAACTCACATTTCTAAAGGCTCTTCCCTCACCTCTCCAATCTCTTTGAGAGCTGGTCCCATTGTTTTCCACGTTCTCAGACTTTTGCTGCTTCTGTGAATTTTTTCCTTCCTTTATCCTCCCTACCTGGCTGATCATTGACTCTGCTCTGGGTGGCCTGAGGTGGGGCTGTGAAGCCTGCGGGATGTTAGCAGGGGGTCATTAGGAGTGGAGGGGTGTGTGTCCTTGGGGTGCAGTCAAGCAGAGAGCCAGTAACCGATTAACCCCCCTGGCCTGCTTCCTCCGGAGCTGAACCAGGCGTTAAAGTGGAAGGTGTCAGACCTGTGAACTGAGTGAGTGTCTGAGCACCCGGGCTGGCTTTACACTGAGAAGGTCGTAGTCTGTTAAGATGTCACCTGAGGGGCATGATGAAGTTGCTTCCCTCAAAAAAAAAAAATAATTCTATCTACTCTCTAGAGGCTATACTGCCTGAATCCTGTTCTAATAAGAATCCCACACAATTCTAAGCTCACACTCTTAGGGTTGAAAGAGATGTTAGAGATGATGTTGTCCAAGCTCATTTTACATATAAGGAAACTGACACCAGCCCAGAGAGGGTGAATGACTTACCTGTGAGAAGGTAGTAAATGACAGAGCCACGGATTTGAACTTAAGTAAATGCTTTCACAGAATTGTAGAATCTCACTTGGAAGGGACCTCAGTGAGCATTCAGTCTAACCTGTGCCTAACCAAGACTCCCTATTCCAACACCTCCAGCAAGTGGCCATCCACTTCAAAGAACTTCAGTGACAGGAACCCACTCCTTCTTGAGGCAACTCACTCCACTTTTGGATACCTGCAATTGTGAGGAGGTTTTCCCTCACATCAAGCCTAAATTTACCTTTCCTCCTTTCCTCCTTTCCTTCCTTCCTTCCTTCCTTCCTTCCTTCCTTCCTTCCTTCCTTCCTTCCTTCCCTTTCTTCTTTTTTCCTTCCTTCCATTTCTCCTTTCTTTCTTTTCCTCCATCCTTTCCTTTCCTTTCCTTTCCTTTCCTTTCCTTTCCTTTCCTTTCCTTTCCTTTCCTTTCCTTTCCTTCCTCCTTTCCTTTCCTTTCCTTTCCTTTCCTTTCCTTTCCTTTCCTTTCCTTTCCTTTCCTTTCCTTTCCTTTCCTTTCCTTTCCTTTCCTTTCCTTCCCTTCTTTCTTTTTTCCTTCCCTCCATTTCTCCTTTCTTTTCCTCTGTCCTTTCCTTTCCTTCCTTCTTCCTTTTCTTCCTTCCCTCCCTCCCTTCCTTCTTCTACATCAAGCTTCCTCCCCATTAGACTTATGAATTTCCAAAAAGATGAACACCTACTTTATGTACATACATTGCTACCCTATTACGCCTTTTATTAGCAGTTTTTTTGAATACCCCCCCTTGCAGTTTCTACCCCTTGTTCTTAGTTCTGTCTCCTAGCATCAAGCAGAACAAGTTGAGTCCCTCTTCCCTGTGTCAGTCCTTTAAATACTTACTTTTCTGTCTGCCCTATCCTTTGAGTCTTACAGCAAAATTTGAGAGTTAGCCAGTGCAAGTGTGGAGAAATGGAGTCTCAGAGAGGGCTGAACTACTTGAGGAAGCCCAGCAAACAGTAATATCCAAATACTCTGGGGAACTCTGACTGAATTGATATGGTTCTCCCATCCATGGGTTCAGATTGGAACTCATCCATACTTTGTCAAGTACAATTTTTATGTACTGCCGCAATCAAATCAGTATCTATGGAATGCTGTACTGCAGGAACATAGTAGGTTCCCCATCATTGGTGGTCTTTAAGCAAGGGTGGACTTGTTGGACATGGTGAAGAGGGGATACTTGCCTAGGCATGGTTTGTATGGGATGGTTCCTGAGACTCCAGTTGATATTCTAATGAGTCTGATTTCAAATCCTCCAGCTGTCATTTAGTACCTGTGTGACTTTGTGCAAGTCATGTAAACTCTCTAGGTCTGCCTCAGTTTCCTGGTTTGTAAAATGGTGGAGGCCTTTCTTGAGTCTTGGTCTTTTAATATTTCATGGGTGCCCAAGAAATACTGAGGCTGTCTGCATGTTATCCTTCACTCTCTACATGACCAGCCTGCCATCTTTTCTGACCATACCGTTATTGGATGATGTCCTTTGTGCCATTTCTTGTCTGTAGATCGTTGGTGGAGGCTCTTTATGTCCATCATAGATCTAGCCATTGCCTTTTGGGTAAGCCATAATTTTGGTTCTTTGGCTGTTGTGGCACTCCATGACTTGCACCAGCGGGAGACCATCGGTTTCAAAAGGATGGGTTTTTTGTCGGGGAGCAGCTCGGGATTGTTGGAATCAGTGTGCAATTTCCCACATGCACGCAGTACAGCCCCACTCTCTTCCTCCTATTCAATTTTGGTTCCAGCTCATTGTCCATCTGCAATAATAATCTGCATGTAATAATAGGTTGTATTTATAGAAACTTTAATTTTTACAAAGTACTTTTACATTCATTATGCTATTTGAACCCCCCTTGAAGTTGGCATCACAGAGAAGGAGGCTTTTTGAGCTGTCCGGACAGTGGAATGGGGAGGGTAGGGGGAAGGGAGCTCTTTGATTATGGGGTCAAACCCAAGATGGGTTTTAGAGCATCCAGAGAGAGGCCAGTGTGACTCCCACTCCTCAGGTTCGAAATGGAATGTCTGGAGCTGCCCAGGGAGTGAGAAAAGGAGCCCTGAGCTCCCCTATCCTCTTAGAGACAGCTCTGGGGTCCCCTTTCCTTCCCCTCTGTGGTGTGTGGAAAGAGGCAGAAGAGAAGAGGGCAAGGAGAAGAGTGCTTATCTATGCCTCTTTCAGACCTTTATTACTTCTAAAAGGATCAATCAGAATAATTGTATTCAGGTTAACCACAGAGCCCAAGCCGGAAGTGGGACTCTGTGGTAGGACAAGGAAGGGGGAAGATTGGAAGATCAGGGTCACTCCAAAGTGATGGAGTAGCCACAGTGAGGGAGAACCTTCTCAACTTTTCCCAGATAGCTGAAGGAGCTACAAGTTTCTTAACTCCTCAGAGCCTCACTGTCCTCAACTGTTAAGTATAAGTGATCTCTAAAGTATCTTCTAGCTCAAAATTCTTTGATCCTCTCATCCTATGAATTTTGGGGTCTGAGGATATGGATTGTGTTTTGGTTTTTCACAAAGGGAAACTGAAGCATTGACAGGGGCAAGGACTCACCTGAGAAGACGTGTATTCATTAAGTAAATGTTTATAAAGAACACTGTGACAGGGAATGAAGGGCATAGAGTTTAGAAAAGGCACAGTCCCTGCCTTCATGAAGCTTCAAGTCTTTGGTGTTTTATTGCAGAGAAGGATGACAAGAACCTTTTCAGCTCCAATGAGAATAACTCAAGAGCCTTTAGACCTAAATCTTCAATAAGAGTAAGTTTGGCAGGCTCTCAGGATATCAGCTTCCTGGTGATAAGCCGCAGGGAACTTTGGAACAGGTGCCGGAGAGAAGTCTGATCGTCCCCTTCTCTGGAGAGCCTTTAAGAACAGATAAGCTTTGTTTGGCCAGGGGGACAGCCAGTCCTTTCTGGGCACGAGGGGATAGATGAGATGGCCCCTGATGGCATACTGAGGCACAGAGAATGGGGAGGAGAACCCCACTTTCCTGCACGGTAGCTCCTCTCACGGCTGGTCTGCGTTCTAGTAAGAGGTGGTGTTTACTCTTCTGTGTGACAACAAACACATCTGTTACCCTCTCCACCCTTCCTCCCCAAGTATCTCACACCCATGAACCCTAGCTGCCAGTCTCTTTGACTCTTGACCCCAGAAAAAAAGCTCTTATTCTATTTCTACCCATGGATAGAATGCAGAATTTATTGGGGGTGGGGGATGGGGGTGGGGTGGATGGAGGACAAGGAATATAAGCATCCATCCTGCCTGTAGTCCAGTATTTTAGAACTGAGTTGGTAGAGGGGTTCCCAAGTTCACAGTGGGAAATGAAGCGATGCCCACCACTGGGGTCTCTCCTTTGAATTTGCTTCTTCTCTTCCTGCTGTCTCTAGCCTCCTTACACTGGCCCTGGTTTGCCTGCCACCCCTGCCCCCTCTTCACGTGAGGATGATAAACAATCAACCCCCCAGTCCCTGGGAGCCTGGCCACTGCTTACATTAGCAGTGCCCAGGCGGCTGGGGCTAGGAATAGGGCATGACCTCAGCGGCTAGGCATCTCCCCCTCAACAGTATCCCCCACCTCTCTCCCCTCCCCCTTGCATTCCTGGAGAGGAAGATGTTGAAAACCTTCTACTTACCCCCTCCCTGTCTTTGAGTCTCCTGTTGTCCTGTTCCGTTCCCTGGGCCCACCCTCCTGTTTCCTTCAGTCAGAGTCGCTTGGCGATGATTGCTGAAATTTCTGACCTCTCCTCAGCTGGACAATGGCTCTGATCTCTCTCTCTCCTCTCTCTCTAGTCTAGGTCCTGAGAATGAGGAACATAGCCAGGGGGAGGGAGAAACAAGGTGAGGAGAGCAGAAGTCTTGGGAGAATAGAATTCTTGGGCTGACTGAACACTCTTGGGTTTATCCCTTTTCTCTGCCTAAACAGCCCTGGTCCAAAAAAGATGGTGGGGGGTCAGGGGAGGAGGAGGTGGAATGCTCCAATTTCCCTTTTTCATTCCTTTCTTTGACTCATAACCTCCAGTAAGGGATGTTTCAGTGTTCTAAGAATCATAAAATTAGAATTCTCAGATGAGCAGCGCTCTTCAGGCATCATCCCACCAATCCCTGCCTTCTGGCTCCAGAAAGGACACATCTAAGTCTTCTTTGGTCATTTTTCAGCCTATGGGCCTGTGTACCTAAGATTATTTGCCTTGCTAGTATATAAAACTTCATCTCCTGCCGCGGGTCATTTTTCATCTTTTATTATCGTCTGTGGAGTAACTCTGCAGAGACTTTAAATCCATATTTGGTCACAGCCCTTCCCCTTATTTCCCTCCCACAGCCTTCTCTTCTTGGGCTGAATCATCCCCAGTCCTTCCAGGGTTTCATTTCCAACCTTTTCCCTTGTTTTTGTTCTTTTTGGGAATCTGTTCAAGTTTTCTATGTAGCCTTATCTATCTGTCTTTGTTTTTACCTACATAGCTATTGTTGTTTGGTTAATATTAATCTCTCTAGTTACCCTCCAGCCTCTGGCGTCTATATCTATTTTCTCTATCAAATCTCTATTTCTAGCTTTTTCGCCTTTCTCATATCCGGTCCTTGGCATGGTTCCTGGCACATGGTAGGCACGTAATAAATGTTGATTGATTGATCGATTATATTTCCTATATCCTGCTCCCCCTCCTGTCTCTCTCTCTGTCTTCCTCTCTGTCTCTCTCCCACTTTATTCTTCCTGTCTTATCTGTTTACTTATTTATTTTTCTAACAGTCACAGCTGGGGGCTTGGCCTGATGACAATGTGAAGGACTATGTATTGTCAGTCTCCGTCATCCTACACTGTCCCTTCCCTTATTTCCCTCCCCTTTCTCAATCTTTTCTCCCAAACGGCTCCTCTGCATACTAGTTTGCTATCCCTCCCAGACCCTGATTTTGCTCTGTGACCTAAAGAAGGTGGAGTCCTGGAGGGGGTCCTGATATGGGAAGATGACCCTCTTTTTGAGAACTGTGGGATGGGAATGGAAGGCATGTGGGAAGGGACAAGTGGAGTGGAAAAGAGCGGCTTGTTCCGTCCTCTTCTTTGCTGGCTCATCTTAGAAATACCATGTCGCTGAAATGTCCATGTAAGGCTCTCCTGCTTGCCCAGAGCTAGGGACTGCTCAGTAGCTACACAGTCCACTATGGGGTTATAGCAGCTATGGGAATCCCGGCCAGCTGACCAAGCTAGGGTCAGGCAGGCAGGGCATGGGGGAGCGAAGGTCCTGGTGGGAACAGATTCACTCTTTTTCTGACTTCTCTCCCCTCGGTGTCCAATCCTCCCATGTCTCCTAGTGCTTTCATGGCCAGCCAAGGTCCTGACCCCTTCTTTGCCTTATGAGCTAGTCCAGGGCCCCTCTGAAGTCTCTTTGATGCCGCATCCCTCTGCCTGGGAAATTCCTATCCTACCCTATCTCCTCTCCCTTCCCTTACATTATCTCCACTACTGTTTTAGGGGCAGGTTCATACCCCTTTCTCTTGTTTGGTGCAACATGGGCTTGTGTTCTTTCCTCTGTGTTTCGCCTGAAGGTCTTGAAAATCTATGGAGTTAAATGGTCCTCTCTGAGCCTCAACACTGTGGTCTGTGAAATGGACTGCACAGATCTTACAGTCATTTTCAGAATAACAGGATCTGGGAGTTGGAAGGAACTACAGCAACCATCTAGTCTAACCTGATATTGGTCTCGACTAAAACATTTGATAAGTAATTGATCAGCCTTTGCTTGAAGCCCTCCAATGAGGGGGATTTCACCATCTCGCAAAGCAGTCAATCCTACTTTGGGGTAGCTCTAATTGTTAGGAAGTTTCTCCTGACATCAAATCCGAGATTGATCTTTTAACCACTTCTACCCACCGCTCTTGGTTCTGCCTTCTGGCTCTAGAAAGGACAAGTCCAATCCACATGACTGCTCCTCAGATAGTTTAAGACAGCTGGTATGTCATTCGGTCCCCTTCTTCATCCTTCAGTCTTCTCTTCTCCAGGCTAAACATGCTCGGTTCCTTCAGCTGACTCTCAGGCTTTGTTACCAAATAACATTTTTTTTTAAACCCAGGACAGTTTCTTTATTTGATTGGGGGAGCCTCTGGAAGGCAGGATGATATAGGGGAAAGCCCAATGGACTAGGAGTTAGGAGACCTCAAAGTTGCAGTCTCAGGTCAGTAAATCACTGACTGAGTGACTGTGGGCACATTGACTTACTTTTTGGGGGCCTCAGTTTCCTTAACTGTAAAATGAAAATAATACCTGCAGGGTTGTTGTGAGGAATAATTCCCTTCATCTTACAAATGAACAAGCAGACATACAAGGAAAAGAGTTGAACTGCTCGAGGTCACACAATTGCTAAGTGTGTGTGTGTGTGTGTGTGTGTGTGTGTGTGTGTGTGTGTGTGTACATGATAATGGATGAACTGAGGGTCCATGTGGCCACTCATTCCCCACTGGAAATATAATCATTCTGAATATAAGTAGTTTTGTAGGGTGAAGGAGGTAGGAGCATTAGATATAGTTGATGTGATAGTAGTGAAGCGGGTTGTCTTTATTTTTCCACCCCACTCCCCAGATCTACATGGAGGAAACAATATAGAACAGTGAGGTTTTGGGACTCCTCAGTAATGTAGAGCAGGGAGTAGGGGGAGATAGAATTCAGTCTGGCTGTGTCTTCTCTGGGGCTGGCATCTGGTTCTCCTCTCCACCTCAATGCTCTCCCCTCCCTCCACCCCCCAGCCAGCTCTGCGGGTGGGTGAAATCCACAGGGGTGAGACACTGTGTCCAGGAGCGTGCTGGGGATGTTTGGGTGCTGCTTATCTCCTCCCCAGGAATGTGTTATTATTAGCCGGATGCCTCATGACACTCAAAATAAACACTCACCGGGACTCTGCCAGGCACTGTTGGGAACACAGGGTTTTTGTGGACCCGCTTTCACCTTTAGACAGGTCCAACACTGGCTGTGAGTGCTGGGGGTGGGTTGGAGGGAGGTGGTGGGGAGGGGAGGATTCTAGTTAGTGGGAGATGGGCTGTTACCTGGAAGTTTGGCAGTGGTAAAGGGAAATCTTTTGGCAACAATGGGTGTAGAAGGATTTGAAGTAGGAAGGGAGAGAGAAAAAAGGCAATTGGTCCTGTCTGGGACTGATGGGAGAGTGCTTATTAGAGACAGGATGGTGGAGAAGAAGGTGCTGAGGAGGGGAGAGTCAGGAGGATAAAAGCTAGAGGGCAGAAAAGATGAGGAGAGCTTGCTGTATGTAGAGTAGAAGGAGGAAAAGGCAAAGAACAGGTAATAAACACAGAGAGAAGGGGGTGCTCAGATACACATCTAGGGATTGGGTACCTTCTGTCTGCTCTACTTTGAACCTTTGGGTAATATCTCAGAAAAAATGACCAACGTGGAGTTTAAAGGAGAAAAATCAATTAGCAAGGATGCCCGAGTCTTTAAGAACACAGGAGTTCAAGTCTTCCTGGAAATTTCTCCAAATAAGAGAGGCAGAGAGGGACACTATAAGTTCCAGTGAATTTTTAAAACCAGAACCATGCACTTCTTGAACTGAGGCTGTTTCACCCAGCTTCCCATTTTCAGACAAATAATAATCTGGGGATAAATGTGCTTAGAGATCTTCAGGGAAGGAGACTGCCCTGCCTGGAAGAGAATCATAGAATGTTGGAGACAGAGGGAAGCTTAGAAAGGAGGATTTTAGGATACAGAATTATAGAGCATTCATAGCATCAAAGAGTTTTGAGGAAAGAGACTGCCCACCTAGAAGAGACAGATGGAAATAGAAGAGACAGATGGAGTTTTAGAATGCAGAATTTTAGGGCACAGAATCATAGAGTGTTCAAGGAATCATAGAGTAAAGGGGAGGAAGGCTGTCCACCTAGAAGAGACAGATGGCACCTTAGAACAGAGACGTTTAGGACACAGAATCATAGAGTGTTCGTGGAATCATAGAGTGTAGGGGAGGAGATTGCCCCACCTAGAAGAGAATCATAGAATGTTGGAGATAGAAGGAAGCTTAGAATGGAGGATTTTAGGGCACAGAATCACAGAATGTTCATGGAATCACACACTATAGGGGAGGGAGATTGACTTACCTAGAAGAGAATCATAGACTATTAGAGACCCATTAGAATGGAGAATTTTAGGAAACAGAATAATAGAATAATAGAAAGCTCATGGAATCATAGAGTGTGGAGGAAGGAGACTGCTCTGCTCAGAAGAGAATCATAGAATGGTGGCGCTAGAAGGAACCTTAGAATAGAGAGTAGAATATTGGAGCTGGAAGGGTCTTTAGAGATCATCTGGTCCAACCCTCTCATTTAACAGATGAGCAAAGTGAAGCTGAAAGAAAGCAAGTGACCTTCACAAGATCTTACAGTTACTGGTAGAAGCTAGTCAAGACTCCAGACTCCCCATCTTGTGTTCTTTCTAGTACATACTTCCTGTTACAGACCTGCTCAAAGGTTTCTAGTGATGACAAATTCACTGTTTCCATTCCAATTTGGAACAACTCTAATTGTTAGGAAATTTGTTTCTTACTTCTAGACTAAATAAGCCTCTCTGAAATCTCCACCGGTTATTCCTGATTTTGTCTTTTGGGGCCAAGTTGAATAAGCCTATAATAAGTCCTTCTGTATAGAAGGAAACTGTCATGTCCTGCCTAAGTCTCATCTCCAGTTCCATTAAAGGAGGCTATTGTAAAGAGAGCTCCCATGTCCTAGTTTCCTTTCCCCACCTGCTTCTTGTTTCATTGCCTTGGTGGTAGTTTGAAAGTTATTGGACAGTCAGGCCACTAGCTAGGAGATCTAGGATGAGGGATCAGAACCAGTGGGTATCAATCTTAGTCCTACATTCCTACTTGGCCTTCATTTTTATCTCCTAACTTTTTCTGTCGACTCTGGAACCAAGTGCCTGAGCTAGACTGGATAATTTTTTTCCATCTCAGACCTACCTCACTGTTTCTGCAGGAGCAGATTTCCTGGGAGGCCCTGGTTTTGGGGGAAGGATATCATTCAGAAACACCACAGAAGTGAGGTAGAAGAGGCTCCTGTCACTGGTCTCCAGTCTGTTTTCTCCCTGGGCTAAGCAGGTTAGCTCATTCTGCATTCTGGCCCTCTATTCTTCCATACTTCCCCAGATCTAACTGGTTAGGGCTGCTAGTTTCCCT